GTGTACATGTCTGTAACAGCAATTATTACTCTTAATTACATGCTTGCTTACTTATTTGCTTCCCACACTGAAGATTAAGGTCTTAGAGGTTAGCTATCTTAGATTGCCAGATTCTTGGTCCCTAACAGTCCACAGAACCAAGTATGCTTAATACATAAGCTGGGACAGTAAATCTCTAGATCTGAGAAAGATGGAAGAACAGAAGCCACAATGTCTTCTATTATATATGTAGGTTTCTTAAACGCATCAGCTAAAGTCCAAGATATTACTCTTCTACCTCATGACTGCGGAGAATAACAAAAATTATTTACTCATGGATGAACACAAACACTTTTATTGTCTCTAATAACCCCTAACATTATTGTTTACTGTGTGTCTGGTGCATACATGTACTTTCCCCATTAAGCCTCACAATAATCTTGAGGTAGGCAGTAGTTTCACCTCATTTTATAGGCAAAGGCAAGAAGGCACAGAGAAGTTAAGCATCTCGCCCAAGTGAAAGAGATAGCAATCCAGGCAGTCTGGCTCCAGAACCCATGTTCCTAACCGCTCTGCTACAAAACTCAGTACCTCCTGCATCATGGAAACTGTGCTTCAAAAGATTAAGTACTCCTCTTTTTAAAACATAATATTACCAAATACAATCTAAAGTTTAAAAGTTATGATTACACATTAACAGACCATCCCTTCCCAAAACTTAACAGCTCTACTACAAGCATATTTCAATTAAAAAATTTACAAGTAGGTTTCACATTAGAAATTCCAAAGTACATTTTTACTTATGGTTATGGTAATAAAGAACTCTTCGTTCACTACCACCGTGTCATTTCTCAAGCTATTTTAGACTTTTAACTTAATGGGTATACAAAAATAGATAAAGAAACTGTGACATCAGTTAATTCATGGTAACCATTCAGCAATCAGGTAATTCTCAATCTTACTGTAACATGCTGTCAACTTCTAGATATTACAGTGGATAGGATGTATTTCCCTGAAAACATTCTCTCAATTTCTATTTCTAAATAACAGGATAATTTGGCAACATCATTTGGAAATTTTATTTATTAAAATGTCAGTAATGAATTGTTCCATCTTAGTTTAGAAGTTACTAATACAAGTTATTCCTGGTACACTTTCTAAATTTCTTGTGATGGATGCTTTTGATATCTTATTTAACAGGAAAGTACTTTCTAATAGAGAAAGTAAGAGGTATTACAGAAGAGTCACTGTTGAAACCATGAACAAAGCAATGAAGTAAATAACTATTATTACTGTGATTTTCTAAAAAACTGATACTCAAGTCATTGCAAAGAAGTAAAGTATAATGGACTTCTATAATAAAGATCAAAATCATTACCATCATCAAATTGCAAAATTTCTTCTTACCTCCCTAGAGGGTCTGTCAACTGTATCATATGCACACAGTGTCCACAATGCTACTGACTAAAATGTAATCTTTACAAAATGCTAGTGCCAGGTTCACTGGTAAGAGAGAACAAGCAGAACTAGTTTATAAACATAAACCATTGGTAGCTATCAATCTCGGCACATCAAATAAAAAAGGCAGGCATGAAAATTTTTAATAGGAGAAATCAGTCACTTATTCTAAGACTTGGGGTCCTGATAGGTGGCTCAGTCCAGGGTAGAGCTAATGTCAATGTTGGTTGACAGATATTATAATAATTTTTCCTTTATTTGGGGGATGTGGGTTTATGCCATATTTCTCTTTGCTTCTCTACAAACAAGAAACCAGCAATTTATCTTATTATTAGACACTGGTCTAAAATTAATGATGGCTTAAATATCTGAAAATATACCAACTCCCCTAAGTATAGCAATGTTTCAGTTAAAACTTAGTGTTTCAGCTAAAACTTAATATTAACATTTTCTGGTTTTCTTCCCCACTCAATTCAGGAATTCTGTAATTTAAAAAGAACATTCAGGTTCCTAGCTTACACACAGCATTCATAGACTATGGCACTCAAAGCACTGCCTGGGTTAGCCATTACCAAAAGTTTCACCCATTCAGCTGTTCCCCAATAAGAATCACACTAGGAGTATACCAAGTAACAACTTCCTCTAAAGAAGACAAAGGAGTAATTTTGTTTCAGAATGAAAAGATATAGAGAAGAAAAATAGACAATAAAACAGATAATTTAACTATTGTTATTCACAATATAGCCAAGAAAAAAACCAAAGTTACACACTTCAAAAAAAGGGGTATGGGGTGATAGGCCAAAGACAAAATACTGGCATGCTGGATTTTTTTTTTTTTTTTTAATTATCTGTACAAGAACAAGGGACACTTCACATTTAATACATTGTCCGTATGTATTTAGTTCACCTCAGGATAGATCCAACTGCAAGAAAATGGCCCCAATGAACTAGAAGATTTCCTGCAACTAACAAACTGTACTCATAATAAGCAACATTTATCGCTATGCAGTTTTACAAAGTTCCCAATAATCTGATGTATATGGAAACTTCCTCTATGGAAAAAATAAGATGGGTTGGATACTACTATTGATGCATAATATAGATATCAACTAGATAGGAAATTCAATTATTCCTGAATATTTAGAAAGAGTCTCATGCTTTGTTCGAACGTAGTAGCTTATTGTTAAGAAATTTCCCTTCCTCAACTCTCCAAGTTAGTAAATAAAATTAGGTAATATTTACATTTAATTTACTGTCTTTTTCATTTAAAGAAGGCTTGCTATATAGTTAAGTTCATTTAAATGACTGCTCTTAAACTTTACTATACTCAAAATAGAAATTAAAATGAGCTTTGAAAAGGAATCTACCGGGGTGCCTGGGTGGCTCAGTGGGTTAAGCCGCTGCCTTCGGCTCAGGTCATGATCTCAGGGTCCTGGGATCGAGTCCCGCATTGGGCTCTCTGCTCAGCAGGGAGCCTGCTTCCCTCTCTCTCTCTGCCTGCCTCTCTATCTACTTGTGATCTCTGTCAAATAAATAAATAAAATCTTTAAAAAAAAAAAAAAAGAAAAGGAATCTACCATTTTCACAAATATATTTTTAACCTGAAATCTTTTCAAAATACATATTGCAAATATGCTGACGGTGCCACACCCTCAGGCATTTTGGGCTACATTCTAATACAGTGTTTAGTGGGTGAGAACTGAAGTTAACAGTGAAACATTTAAAATAAATATAAGACTTGCACTGAGAAACCAGAACCCATATAGCATGCGACAGTTAACAGCATGGCCTTTTAAATGTTCAGCTATCACCCCCCCCAAAGTACTTCTAGAAACCATTATTTATATTTCAATCACAAACACTGCTCTTAAAATACAATCTATATCGGATTTATAACCAGATCTGAAAAACACAGATTAAGATGCAGCTTAGTCTAATTTCTCTGGTAAAGAGTCAAAAGTAAGATAGAATAATCTTACTATCTCTTATACATTCTGGCAAAAACAACAAAACCCAAAAAGCCAGAACAAATAAAATGAGTCAAAATTGGCAATAAACCCATTATAAAGAGTGGCACTAAAGTGAAATTTCTGAACATACTGCTTTCTAAATATGTAAGTGCAATCTTACTGGAAAACACATATTTACAAAGATTCTAGAAAGCTACCACCAACTTGATGTCTAGGTTTTCGATCTTTATTTTGTCTCCATAATATTCAGTTGTCAGTAGTTTCAAGCTACATACGTAAATATATCTGGCGTGATTTTTATATCCTACTTACACTATTCAGTGTCCACATACAGATTTACAAATGTCATAAGTGACATTATGTAGAATACTGTAATATTTTCCAGAGTAGCAACTTTGACTTTGAATAAACATCAGAGTATCTGGGCTATTAAAAACATTTTCTTTTCAATTTCTAAATTCTTCTTTTTGAGACCAAACTTAAAATAAAAATGCCAAGCTTTGTCAATTTTAACAAAAAAGGGATTGCTATAAACAAACCTTAAATAAAAACTGCCCTAGACAAATATTAATAATCAAGTAGCACTCAACACAAATAAACACTTGACTTTCTTCTACAACACAGGAGCCTGCCCTGTAGCAGCCGCGGCACAGAATCCTGTGACAGTCCGAGGCTGAGCAAGAGACCGACGGTGCAGGACGGGATGAAGAAGGAAAAGGACGTAAACTTAAAACTTACAAAATTAAAAAGCCAATGAGTAAACTGTATCAGAAAATCAAATTCCAAGAGAATATTAATAGGTAATTACCACAGCCAGAGTTAATCTCTGCCTTCAAGAATGGAAGACAACAAAACAATTCTTACCATCATACAATATACCAGTAGTAGAAAAAAATGAATTATTCACAGAATATTCTAAGAGGCTTTTCCTGGGGTGAGTGGGTATGTGTGTACGTGTGAAAGCTTACAAAATTAAAAATGTGAAACAACATGGATTCGTATTAAGATTTCATGATAATAGGAAAAAATTTAAGGAAAGAATATTTTCCTTGAGGGAAGAGTATTTCCCATGACCGGTTTAAAAAGCACCTATGAAACCATGCTGTCCACTGTCACAACCAAGGTTTTGGATGCTTCTGTCAACTGCAGCATAACAAAAGGCATTTCACAGCATAACTTTAGGGAAAATGTTATCTGGTCTAGAATCATACAGAAAGCAAAGAAAAACTCTTTTAATTGCTTCTAAAACACCAATTTTTCTGGGTAGCAGCAATGTGCTCCTATACGTGCCCTTTCAAAAAAAACAGAACCAGAAATAGGGGAAAATTTTGAGAATAAGAACAGCAGCATTAAATAGGAAAGCAAATACTTGAAGTTTAAAATAAGGAAACAGTACTGTGCAACTTTCAATTATGCCAAGTAAAGTGAACTGCTTAAATGTTCACTGATAACATTTTCCCTATATGTTGAAAATATGAAATCTTATTGGTATCTTTTTATATTTAAAAAAAAAAAAAAAAAAAAAAAAAAAAGGACATTCAGTATTGTAGCCCTGATAGCTCTCTTCCAGTATTTTTTAACCATTCAGATGTATTTTATGGGAATATTTATTCACATAATTTTGCTTAATACATTTCTTTCTACACAAGACTGAATTTAAAAGTCTCTATAACATTTTCAATTACAGTAATAATACATTAATAAATTATAAATTAACAAAATCTTCATATTTGCTTTAAAAAATCATTTATCAAACACTAACCTCCAGATTATCTGGAAAATTAAAGATGCAAATTGCTATAAATCTGGCATCCCAATTAAATTCTGATTTTTAAAAGTATATAAAATGTCCCTCAAATTATCCCAAGTTCCACTCAAGAAAATTTTATTTTACCCTTTTCATAAGTTAAGAAGTTTACAACCTGCTAAACATTCTATCCAAATGTGGGAAAACTGTCTGGAGATGCAAAGCACAATAAAATAATTACATGAAGAGAACAAATAAAAATACCCGTTAAAACAAAGTTATTATAGCTGGCAGCACTTAAAATTGGTAATTTGTATTTTTTTAAAAAGTTGCATAGCTGCAAGATGATTCATTACTGATTAACTATTGAGCGGTTTTATTTATGAGGAAATAATACATTAATAAATTGCAATTCAATCGACAATCTTAGATTTAGTGCATTAAAATGTAACTATGTAACCTGATTTACTCTTCGGACTGCATTCTGGTACTGTTACACCTTCAATTTCAAATATGAACATATTTCAGCTCTCCTATGCAGAAGTCTATTTTCCACTCTTGGGGGAAAAAAATAGAAGAACTTGAGATCATGGTCTACATTCAGACAATGTTTTACTGCTTGATTACATTTCTGGTTTTCACATTTAAGACTTTAATTTATAAGAAGTACATTATGTGGTCTTCAGTTTAAGAATAGATGAATGCAGAAACATCATGTTGGGGAAAATAAAGTGACCCCCAACTAAAAACCAAGTCAAAACACAACTAGTTGCGCAGCTCTACAGAACTTAATAAAATCAACTTCTAAATCAGTTAACTTTGGCGTCTGAATACAAAATGTTTATCAGTGTTACCTATGTAGATGACTATTAAGGGATGTGCAGCATTTTCAAAATCCCTGTGTGTCCTTTATATGCATGTTTGGTACACTGAGTTCTGTGGCAACTGTCCTCTCTTCAGCAGGGTTATCCCCCGTATGATTGTCCATCTCTGCATTACCAAGTCTCACAGAACTCAAGATTTCTGGCTGAGTATGCCTGCAGTTTTTTCTTTTTCCAGAGACAGATCCTCATATCCTCTCAGTTTTTCAAGCATCTTGGAAAGACAAGAAAACCTGTGTGGAAGCAGATGCATTAGGTTTAAGCAGTGGTTCACAGTACTAATACCAATCAAAATACAACACCCATTTCCCCAGGAACACTGCTTTGGTTGCTATCCATTTTCATACACTTACTATTCTTAAAAACTCCTAAAATTAGTGTTCTGCAAAAAAAAGGACAGAAGGACCAATTCAAGCTTCGAACAGTTACAAGAAATAGTCACCACGTAACGGGTTTTCTCCCTCCACAACAAAGACCACACCAGAGTACAGAAAACAGACAACACATAACACCTACACACCTATTAATCTTTCTCCAACTAACAACTTCCAATAAAAATAGTGAACAATTTCCTAACTAATCAAAACCTTAGATTGTTATGTATATCTATTTTGGGCTGTCCATTAAATTCTTATGCTGAAGAACATCAGAAATGCTGTATGTGCTGCTGCTGTATGTCATGTTTTTGTTTGTTTGTTTGTTTGTTTTTTGTTTTTTTAATGTTTTAACAACAGAGATGCCTGGGTGGCTCAGTGGGTTAAGTGTCTGCCTCGGGCTAAGGTCATGATCCCCAGGTCCTGGCTTCATTGGGGTGGGTGGGGGGGTCCTTGCTCAGTAGGGAGCCTGCTTCTCCCTCTGCCTGCCACTCCACTTGCTTGTGCATTCTCCCTGGCAAAAAAGTACTATCTTTGGGAAAAAAAACAAAACAAAATATGTTTTAGCAACAATAAATCCTCTTCAAACCCACAGGTTTAATCTGAGACAGCAAAAGGGATGGGAGGAATTTATCATCTGACAAGTAAGAGCAGTCAGAACTGAAGCAAACACTTGAGTGAAGATATTCCACATCTGTACATTTGTAAAAATGACTTCAAGACGCAGAGAGATTCCACTGACTTGTAGATTTGTAAGGGCCGCTGCCACCAAACTAAGGTTTATATATATATTTATATTTATATTTATTTATATTTATATATAAAAATCAATAAAAAGATAACACTGACGCATAAGGTAAGGAAACCAAAATGCTGTTTAAAACCAACATGCACAGACTATGAGATGAGACTCATGTCCCTTATACCCCATAAGCTCATTGTAACACTAAAGGAAATTTAGCTGACTGGATGAAATAAAAACATTTTTATAACCATAAAATCCCACCTCACATAAAAAAGCTTACTGCTTCTAAAAGACACATTTTACCTATAGGTTGAAAACTTTAGACATATTACCTTGGTATGTAAAATATTAAGAGAAAAATTTCATGTTATTAGCATGGGTTTTTAGTCCTTCTCTTTAAATGCTTCTATAATTTTAGCCATACTTTTAGTTTATTGGCCCAGACATAAGGTTACACTGAAGATACTCTAAGCATCCTCCTCTTCAAAAAACCTGTTCACAGTAAAATAAAAACACACCTGCTCATATACTCAAAATATCACTCCATGGCCCCTCTTCTTTTACACAGAAATCTTAACCCAATTCATACTTCCAGCATGTCAAGGTCTGATCTGAATCACCTCATGGTAAAAGGTTCAAAGCCGATAGTCTTCTTGTACCCTCCAGCTTCACAAGGAGTTCCCATTTCCCATGCAGAACCCTACCGTAGTGGTGACAGAGGTCTCCCTTCTTGCTGCAGTTCTTACTTCAGTCGCTGTAAGGGCTATTAGGTGACCTCAAATCTCCTCTGTCAATAATCTGCTGCTACTGAATTATCCTCATTAAGGACAATGATCTGTTCCAGTTTCCTGTCTTTAGTCTTAGCCATTCAGAAAAGACTGTTGGCAGTTACTGTCTTAGGTCTCTGAACACAAAGGCTCCAACTCCTGAAACAATTCCAGGATTGGCTAAAATGTTCTGCCTGTATGTAAACACCCAATACTTTATGTCATTTCTGGAAGTCTTCTCATAAGAAGCTTTTCATATATACAAAGATATCAATTAACTATTTTTTTTTTCACAAAGCTAAATGATGTCATTTCACTCATTCCATGGAATATGGAAAAGAACAATTGTCAAGTGAGTTTATCATTCAATTCACTGGACATTTTCAGATAATGCAGGATAATAAGTAAGCTACATCAGCAGAGCAAAACAAGTTCTGTACTTGGTTTAAAATTCATTTTTTTTCTTTTTTCCTCCTACTCTATAAACAGGCACTATGTAACATGCTGAGGATAGTAAGGTACAAAATTAAACTGAATGAATGAGAACATGATGCAACTTCTCCAAGAAAAAGCCCCTACCTAATTATAGCAAAACAGCTAAGAACACAATCTTTGCAGCCAATATGCCTGAGTTCGAATCCCAATTCTACGAAGGAACTAGCTTGACAAGTCAAGTTTTGTAACCTCTAACTCTGTTTCCTCAATCTGTATAATGGGAAAAGGGATAGCAAGAGTCCTGAGCGCAAAAGTTAGCTACAACAATTAGATGAGTTATTAACAGATGTAAAATGCTTATTAGAACAATGCCTGGTACGTAATAATACAACATGAATGTTAACTAATTATTATGATTAGAATTATAATATTATATTGCATTACCTAAGAACATACCCATCAAGTTTGGAATAAGAACATAGAATTTAATTCTGTTTCTTAAATGCATGCCCAGGGCTACTGTGCATACTGCTTCTTAAAGTCATGAAATTAACTACTTTGGCCCTCAGATTTCTTAGTGGAAAAATGGGGTAATATGTACTAATATGTACATATGTGTAGTACATGTATGAAGTTTATACCAACCATATGTTTCATGGATTTAAGCATTAAACTAATTAAAAGTGTTTTAAAGTACCAAGAATGGAGAAGTTAGTCAATATGTGACTTTCTTCAGGAATCAAAAAGTTGCTTTCTATGTATCTTTTCATGTGAGTTTTTTACATGGTTACCTAACAGTGTCTGGGATGGACACTCACACACATGCACACACACACACACACAGAGGCATGCTTCAATAAATGAATGACTAAAAATGGTGGCTGAGAATGTAGAACTTAGGTAACAAGTTAAAAAGCAATTAAAACAGAAAAAGGGAAAATTACCTATAAAACAGGAAGCTGATGCTTAATCTGAAGGGTGCTCAGGGCAAGATCTATTTACTTCAAACCATTCATCTATGCAGCTAGAAAAGAACAAAACCAGAAAAATTGAAACACTTATTAATTATTGATGTAACAGCCATAAAAAAAAACTCTTTCTTGACCTTAATATATATTTACAGGAAAAAAAATTCAGTATTTTAAATGAGTATATTTGGCATACGTAAGTAAAAGATAAGGATCTGTTTATTACATTTTGATCTTTTTTTTTGGGTACTCTCTATACCCAACTTGGGGCTTAAACTCATGACCCTAAGATCGAGTGGCATCCTCTTCGGACTGAGCCAGCCAGGCATCCCACATTGTCATTATTCAGAGCAGTTAAGGAAATAATCTTTGTAAAATTAAAGTACTTAAAGTTTAGGGGCGCCTGGGTGGCTCAGTGGGTTAAGCCGCTGCCTTCGGCTCAGGTCATGATCCCAGGTCCTGGGTTCAAGCCCCACATCGGGCTTTCTGCTCAACAGGGAGCCTGCTTCCTCCTCTCTCTCTGCCTGCCTCTCTGCCTACTTGTGATTTCTCTCTGTCAAATAAATAAATAAAATCTTTAAAAAAAAAATAAATAAAGTACTTAAAGTTTAAATAGAACCATTACCAAAAGAAAATCTAAAGAACTACCACTTTACCAGTATTCAAAATTAAGTGACAAATCTGTACATTTTTCTCTTCAAAATATTCATTCATGTAAATATCAATCTGTTCATGTACCTATCAATGTAATCAAAAACAGCTTTTAAATTCTAATTCTTGGGGTGCCTGGGTGGCTCAGTGGGTTAAAGCCTCTGCTTTTGGCTTGGGGATCCCAGCTCTCTGCTCAGCGGGGAGCCTGCTTCCTCCTCTCTCTGCCTGCCTCTCTGCCTACTTGTGATCTCTGTCAAATAAAATCTTCAATAAATAAATAAATAAATAAATAAATAAATAAATTCTAATTCTTCACAGTACTCCATCTTTTAAGAGACTGTACTTTAATACTCACATGTAACTATAGCCCTTTATTTAATTCTATCCCATTCTACAATACATACACATATAAATACACAATCATCCAATTTATAAAGTATTTCATGACCTTATTAGAAGTTATATATTAGGGTACATATAATTATCCTCACTGTAGATCTGCACTGTTCAATGCAGTAGCCACAAGCTACATGTGGCAATTTAAATTATGATTAGATAAAAGAAAAATGCAGTTCCTCAGTCACACTACCACATTTCAAGTGCTCAAGAGCCACACGCATAGCTATTGGCTAGTCTACGAGACAGCACAGATACGAAACATTTTCATTGCTGCAGGAAAGTTCTAGTTCACTGTGATAAATGGTAAGGCCTTGATAAGGTTAAGTAACTTGTCCAACAACTAGGCAGTTACCCAAGCAGAATGCAAACTGCTCAACATTCTCATAGTTGACACATGTCAAATTTACAAATGCCACAAACCTTGAAGGCTTGGCCAATATGCTTACAGGCAAAATTATTATGTATCATTCTCATACTGATAGGATAGTTTGGTGGGTAAAAATAATGGATGAAATTAAAAGGAAAACGGGTAAAGTATCTCATTCACACAATATTCTTTCAAATATCTAAAATAATTTGTTGCCACTTAGACTTTTGTTGTCTAAATAATCATGCCTACATTGGCTTTTTAGCCTGCATTCTATCCTACTTACTTGGCTCTAGTGGTCCCCTGGTCTACTGAAACATCCCTTAAATGGGGCGCTTGGGTGGCTCAGTTGGTTGAGCGTCCAACTCTTGATTTCAGCTCAGGTCATGATCTCAGGGTCGTGAAATCGAGCCCCATGTCCATCTCTGCACTAGGCCTGGAGTCTGCTTGGGATTCTTTCTTTCCCCCCTCCCTCTACCCCTGCCGCCCAACTCAAAAAAGAAGTACTGAACAAAATACTCCAGATATATTAACAACTCACTGTACTTATGTGATTAAAATGTGTAGTTATTTTACAAGCCATGTAATTCTGACTCATACTGAGAAATTATCATTGTAATCTTCTATAAATACAAGCGTATTGCAATTTATGTGTCCATTCCTGACACTTTCAATGATGCTTGAACATTCTTATACAGGTCTCTTAGAGCTGGGCTACTCAAAGAGTGGCCCACAAACACAGTGCTAATCCATGAGCTGTTTATTTCACACTGGACCTGCACACCTAGTAGCAGCACTATTGTAGAGCCTAAGATGAAGAATTTCCCCAGGGCTTACACTTGGGAGTGCAATGACTGAGTGTAGAATATATACAGTGCACAACTGTGACAGAGTTATTCACCAAGTACACCAACTTACATCTGTGTGTTTACTGGCCATGTGGGTTCTTTTTTTTCCCTGAATTGACTCTTAAAAACTTTTGACAAATTTTCTGTTTTGTCTTTTTCTTCTAGGTTTATAGGAAGTTATTATCCAAATACTTCAGCTATAATGTAGTATACACATTTCTGATGAGCATTGCTTTCTATAAAATCATACACTAAAACTAACAGGGCTTATGAGAAAAACCATGCTAAAGACAGACCACTCAAACAATACAACCTTGTAACCGGAACAAAGCTGTGTTTGTTCCAGATAAATAAAATACCACTGTAAATATAGGATTTTTTTTAAAACGAGGGTGAAGTCAGCTTGACATAAAAAGGACTAAGGAAGGGGGTGCCTGGTTGGCTCAGTCAGTGGAGCAGGGGACTATGGATCTCAGAGTTGTGAGTTCAAGCCCCACCCTGGGTGTAGAGAGCACTTAAAAATAAAAAAGAGGACTAAGGAAGGATTAGTATTAATATGGGGACAAAAGCCCAATGCACAATTTGAGAACTAAGAATGAATTAAGCAAGCACTTCCAAAGTGAAGCCCGTAGTCTAACTGAACTGGGTGTAAGAACGTTTGGGGGACGGATACTCTTATAGTATTAGGTACACCTCATATCCTGGGGCTGGGTTCCAGAACACTGCAATAAAGTAAGTATCACAATAAAAGGAGTCAAATCATTTTTTTTGTTTTCCAGTGCATATACGTATTGTGTGTGTGTGTATGTTTGTGTAAAATTAAATGTAAGAGACAAGATAGCGGACCACTGGGGAAGGGAGAGAAAACTGAAAGGAAAGTCATCAGAGAGGGAGACAAACCATGAGAGACTCTTTCAACTCTAGGAAACAAACTGAGGGTTGCTGGAAGGGAGAGGGATGGGGTAACTGGGTGATGGGCATTAAGGAAGGCATGGGATGTGATGAGCACTGGGTGTTATACGCAACTGATGAATTACTGAACTCTGCATCTGAAACTAATGATGTACTATTATACTGGCTAACTGAATTTAAATTAAAAGAAAATATACATAATTAATCTATATTTATAATAAACTTATTTTAGTAATCTAATTAGAAATACTTTATTGCTAAAATAGGCTAACTACCATCTGAGCTTTTCATGAGTCATGATCACTGATCACTGTAACAAATAACGAACGAGAAAGTTTGAAATATCATTGGGAATTACCAAAATGTGACACAAAGACAAATGCTGTTGGGTAAATATTGTCAACAGACTTGCTCTAGGCAGGGTTGTGAGAAACCTTAAAATTTGTTTAAAAAAAGAAAAAAAAAAGCTCTGTATCTGTGAAACACAATAAAATGAAGTGCAATGCAACAGGGCATACCAAGGCCGTGGTCTGCCACTGCTGCTTCCATATGGACCTTCACCTGGTTTTATTTGACGGAGCAAACACTAATGCGCTGAGAAGTATTCTTTAAGAACCAGTATGAAGATCGTATCATGACACCGTCACTGTCCTCCCCCCTTACCAACAGCAGCGCGCTAACTGCATTACGGAAGGCTGCCGGAGGAGAAGCTTGTTTGACACCATACCAGCAAAGTGTTGTTGTGCATACTGGAAAAAACTCAATCTGAGGTCTAGTTTACTTTTACTTTTTTCTAGTATCACAATGCAAAAAAGTTTTAAATTTTAATACAAATTTATCAACTTTTCTTTCAAGCTTTTATTGGGGGGGTATCTTAGTCCTAAAAATATTTCTCACCAAGAGATCTACATTTCTCTACATTCTAACACCTTGATTTTTATTTCCATAGGCACATGTTTAGTCAGTTGGGAACTGATTCTTATTTCAACTATAAAATAAGGATTGACTGTTTCTCTACATCAGTAACCAACTGATCTCAGGACCATTCACTGAATTCATTCTTTCTCTTGCTATTAATACCACCTCTGCCAAATCAATTTTTTATTCATTTACTTACCCAATATTTACCTAGTATCTATTATGTGTAAACACTTTCTAAAATTTAATTCATTTGAAACCTCCTAACAACCTGATGAAGTTGGTACTACCACCTCATTTTATAGACTGGGGGAGGGAAAAACTAAGTACAAGTTGACCAAGATCACACAATGAATTAGTGGAGGGGCTGGGATCTGAATGAGGAAGGCTTAACTCCCAAGAATCCATGCTTTAATCAACCTTGTGCTATGATGACTCTCATATACACACAAATGTTTATGGACTCTATTCCTATGCCCTTTCCATACTTGTCTTAACTAACAGTCTTAAAATGTGTCTGTACAGGGCAAGTCCCCCCAGCACTTTCTTCTTTGTGACTGTGACTGTTCTTCCCATATGGACTCTTTGGTTCATGTGTATTTTCGAATCCACTCATCAAATTACATGAAAAAACTAGCTGAGATCTGAATGGGATAATATTAACTACACAATTTGGGGTTAAGTGACATCTTTATGACATGGAGTCTTCCTATCCCCAAGATGGTATACCTCAAATTTTAAATCTTGTGTATCTTTCAGTAAAATTTTAAAATCTTGAGTATCTTTTGTAGGATATATTCTCAACACAGCTTACAGCTATTGTAGGCTTTGTGGCTGTTAACGTCATTATTCTATTAAAAGAAAGGTTTTATTTTCTTTTTTCTTACTGGGATATAAATGCAACCAATTTTCATGTTGAGCTCCTATCTAGCAACCCTGCTAAATTCTTAATCCCCCCCCTTTTAAAGATTTTATTTATTCATTTGACAGACAGAGATCACAAGTAGGCAGAGAGGCAGACAGAAAGAGAGGGAGAAGCAGGCTCCCCGCTGAGCAGAGAGCCCGATTCAGGGCTTGATCCCAGGACCTTGAGATCATGACCTAAGCCGAAGGCAGTGGCTTAACCCACTGAGCCACCCAGGTGCCCCCCCCCTTTTTTTAAAGAAAGAGAGCAAAAGAGAGAGCACACACATATGTGTACAGAAGGTGAGGGACAGAAAGAGAGAATCGTAAGCAGGCTCCATCTCAGGGAGGCCAGATCTGATGACCCTGAGATCATGACCTGAGCCGCAATTGAGAGCTAGATGCTTGACTGACTGAGCCACCCAGGCGCCTCAGTTCTCATTAATTTTTTTCTAAAGATCTTATTTATTTGAGACAGAAACAGGGAGCAAGCGAGTGAACGGGAGTCAGGGGAGAAGCAGATGGAGAGCCCTCTGAGCAGGGAGCCCAACACTGGGCCCTATGATCATGACCTAGCTGAAGTCAGACACTTAACCAACTGAGCCACCCAGGCACCCCTCTTATTCATTTTAATAATTTATCTAACATTTATTCTTTAATTTTAATAATTTATCTAACATCTATTCTTTGCTTTTGTTTTGAAATCATTAATTCCTAAGTATAGAGTTTTACTGAATGTTTTCTCACATTTGTTGAGAAAATATGGTCTTTCTCCTTTGTTAATGTGGTATACTATATATATAAATTTTCTCATCTTTTTAAAAAAGATTTAATTTATTTGTCAAAGAGAGAGTGAGCGAGAGACATAGAGCTCACAAGCAGGCAGAGTGGCAGGCAGAGGCAGAGAGAGAAGCAGGCTCCCCGCTGAGCAGGGAGCCCAATGCAGGACTCCATCCCAGGACCCCGGGATCATGACCTGAGCTGAAGGCAGCGGCTTAACTCACTGAGCCACCCAGGCGCCCCTAGATTTTCTAATCTTACAGTGTCTTTACATTCCTAGCATAAATCTAACTTAGACATGAGGCATTACTTCAGATATATATTGATGAATTTGGTTTGCTAATATGTTTTTGGATTTTTTCCATTTATGTTCATAAATAAGAGTGCCTTCTAATTTACTTTCATATACTTGTCTGATTTTACTTATTTTTTAAAGATTTATTTGTCATGGGGAGCCTGGGTGGCTCAGTGGATTGGAGCCTCTGCCTTTGGCTCGGGTCATGATCTCAGGGTCCTGGGATCATGATCTCAGGGTCCTGGGATCGAGCCCCGCATCTGGCTCTCTACTCAGTGGGGAGCCTGCTTCCCCTTCTCTCTCTGCCTCTCTGCCTACTTGTGATTTATCAAATAAATAAATAAAATCTGGAAAAAAAAAAAGAAGATTCTCTCTTAAAAAAAGAAAAAAAAGACTTCTTTGTCAGAAAGAGAGAGCACAAGCAAGAGGAGTGGCAGGCAGAAGGAGAAACAGACTCGCTGCTGAGCAAGGAGCCTGATGCAGTACTAGATCATGACCTGTGCCAAAGGCAGAGGCTTAACTGACTGAGCCACCCAGGCGTCCCACCTTATCTGATTTTAGTATCAAGTTTATATTATTTTCATAAAATAAGTGGGAGAACCTATAATCTTTTCCTACTATTTGAGGTGTTTACAATCGTTAACATGGTATTCTTTGGATGTCTGGTAGAACCTGCTGTCAAACCATCTTCAATAGGCCTGTTTTTAGGTCTTGTCTTAATTTTTAATATTTGTTGTTTTTCAAGGTCTTTTTTTTTTTTTTAATTTTTATTTATTTATTTATTTATTTTACAAAGAGAGACACAGGGAAGGAACACAAGCAAGGGGAGTAGGAGAGGGAGAAGCAAGCTTCCTGCTGAGCAGGGATCCTGATGCAGGGCTCGATGCCAGGACCTGGGGATCATGACCTGAGCTGAAGGCAAATACTTAACAACTGAGCCACACAGGCACCTCTCAAGGTTTGTCTTAATAACTACTTGTAATAGTTATTAGTCAACTCAGATTTTCTATTTCTCTTTGAATCATTTTGGTAATTACTATATATCATAACATATAATTAATAATATATATTATATAAAATATAATATATAATGAACTGGAAATATAGTAATATTCTTAAGGAAATGACCTGTTCTGTTTATATTTTTAAATCAAAGACTGTAAAATTTTTCACAAAATTTTCCAATTATTTTTCAATTCTACCATTTCTCAGTTATCTGTCATTCCTATACTGTTCACTTTCTCCTTCTAGCGACAAACCTGCCAGAGGCATGTCTATTTTATTCATCTTTAAAGAACCAACTTTTGGCTTTGGTGGTCTCTACTCTAGTGTGTAATTTTTTTATTTCATTATTTTCTTCTCTCACCTTTATTATTTTGCTCTATTTTGTGTTTATTCATTTTTCTAATTTCTTAAGGAAGAACTTGTTTAATGATTTTGTCTTTCTTCCTACTCTAACACAAGCCTTCCAAGGATCACCCTAGAAAATGTCAAAAGGGTTTTTCATTATTATTCAGTTTTGAGTATTTTTAAGCTCCATTATTTCTTTTCTTTTTGGGGGGTGGGTGGGAATGGGGAGAGAATCCTAAGAGAGCTCCACTCCCAGTGCGAGGTCCAACAGAGGGCTTGATCTCAGGACCCTGAGATCGTGACCTGAGCTGAAATCATGAGTCAGACACTTAGCCAACTGAGTCACCCAGGCGCCCCTCCATTGTATTTCTTCTTTAATCTACAAATTAATTAATATTATGTGTGAAGATTATTCATCTTTTATTACCAATATATAACTGGCCAGAGAACAGCTAGCTTTCTGTATGGCACCAATTTTTTATAGTTTGCTAAAACTTCCTTATGGCCCAGTACACCATTAATTTCTGTATATTTCACATGTGCTTTTCTTGAAAAGAAAATGTACTAATTGCTAGGTGCAGATACACATACATCCATTAGACAAACCTGTTAACTGTACTGTTTGATTTTTCTAGGTCTTGACTCGTTTTGTGTCTACCTGCTTGAGTCAATGAGAACTGTGCTGAAATTTCCCATTATCATGACATTTTTGTCCACTTTTTCTGACAGTTCTATAAATATTTATCTTGAGACTATGTTCTTAGGTTCACACAAAACTGGGCTTTAAATACCTTTATGATACCATACTAGTAATATTTTTGTTAAATTTATTTTGTCTGATATTAATTTAGCTTTGTCAGTTTGCTTATAGTCCATATTCACCCAGACATAATTTTCTATTTCTTCCTTCACTTTCACATTTTTCTATATGCTTATGTTTACGTGTGTTGCTCAGCAATGGCATATCCCAATCTTTCAGTCTGCTTTCAACTGATGAGTTTTATTTAGATTTATTAAAATTACTGATAACTGATTTATTTTTGCCTCATTTTGTATTATTTATTGTGTTCTCTATGCTTTTCCCCAATCACACCTTTAAATAAAATTCTACCTCATTCTTTTTATTGGTTTGAAATGTTATGGTTTTCTGTTTTTTTCTGTTTACCTTAAAAGATTTTTTTTTTTTTTTAATCTAAAAATCTTCCTATGTTGCTCTAAAACCAAGAATACTTTATGAGACTCTAGATGGTTGTTGGAGCCAAACAGAGGTGGCTAAAATCTCACCGCTTCCACTTACTAGCCATGTGACCTTGATAGATTTTCTGTGGTTCCTCGGCTTATTCCCTCAATCATAAAATGGGATTGTTACAAGGTTTACATGAGATTACCTAGCTAGATTGTTATGGACAATACACCTGGGTAACAGCAGATGTTTAACAAATGGTAGATTTCTGGATACAAACCAGATCTGGGCTTAAATCTTAGTTCTAGCAGGTAAAAAGGGCTGTTGTTTTTTAAGAAACAGGGGGAGGGTGTTTCAATTAAGAAGAGAACTTTTCAGCCCTAAGGACAATGTCTGAAATTTTGAGAAGCACCTCTTACTCTACTATCAACTTGGTAAACATAAAAAGAAACTTACCCTTTATGATATATGCATAGACAAGGCAGTCGTGCTATAGTATCTCCCTGCTGCAATTCTTCAAGGCATATTGCACATTCCCCAGCATCTTTACTCAGTACATCCTCTGAGGAAAGAGAAAATGAATTCAGGACAATAAAACTGAAAGATGAATTATGGGAACACCACTTAGTAAAGAGTGGTGACTCTTTACATTTTGTCATATTTGGCATATTTTGTCAGAAATACATAAAACACGTATTTGAAATACTATTCATGGGTCAGTGAATAATACTTACCTTTACTTATAGACAGAATCTTATTTCCATTTCCATTTCACTGAGGCATTACAGTAAGCAAGAACAGTGCAGAATCCTCCAACTTGCAAAGGACTTTGCCATAAAACTTCATCAGCAAGTCAGTTATTTGCAATTTGGAATTCATTTTCCTTCTCTTACCAATCAATATTAATTTGATGCCCAAGATAGCTAAAAAAACAAACTTAAGAGTATAATGTGGCTGAAAAGATATGAAAATACTATTATAATTTTTAAAATTCTAAAATAACAAAATTGGTAAGCTAAAGAAATCACCCTGAGTATGGACTTCTTAAAAAGGTCTGCTTAACTCAAGAAAATCAAATAAAGGTTAAGTTTTGCGTAGACTCTGAAAGGGACTTTTGGAAACTTGAGGATTTCAGATATGCAACAATTCTTCTTACTCCTTTTCTAGAACAGTGCCTGGCCACACCAGGGAGCAATTAGACTGGCTTTCAGAGGGCCCTGCAGAGTGTTTAAAATAGTGCTACAGTAAAACCCTTTACAAAGTGAAAACTCCTTTTGGGGGGGGGGTGGATTTCCTTCAATTGATGTTTTATACTAAAAATTTAAATTTTTTTAAATGTTGAAGCTTAATTTTTTAAAGGATCTTGCCAAAAACAAGAGTATGTTAGCCAGGTAAAATGATGGAACTAAAACATGCCACTGCTAGAGAGTATGGAAAAACTGCCAAATATATGAGAATGTATACTCGTAAGTGTAGAGAAGGGAAAACTAAAGCAGGAAAACAATATGAATTTATACCACAAGTAATTAAATTACTGTCTGTAGAAATAAAAATCAAATAGGCTAGAGAAAAGACTTAGACCAACCTCTATCTAAATGCTGAAAGTGCAAGGTTCTTTTAAAAGTTCCTAAAATTATCTGGCTGGTTCTCCCACACCTCCTATAAAAACCAACAAACTTAATTGTGCATATACCTGTAACTGTTCCCTGTAGAAAGTGCATTCTCTAAGAGGTAGTTCGCCCTTCAGTTATTCATTTTGAGAGCACAGTAAGAGGAAACACAGACTCTATTTCTACCGGGTCTACACCAGCAGACAGATCATTTACCTGTAAGGCTGGAGGGGGTAATAGGGCAACCTCTGCAGAAAAAGGCCTTGGCAAGAAAAATTTTTGTATTCAGAATCTAGGGAATATGGATGGGATGATTTTAGCCAACTACTGGGTAGTTCACAAGCCTATGTATGACAATCAGAAACTTGACCAGGATAAGTAAAGCTGGATAAATGGAAAATGATCTCTTTAACACCCCCCTTTAGTATCTTATCCCCATTTTTCTCTTCTTCACTGTGGAGGTCCCAACCTCTACCTCTACTCCACCCACCCAAACCCTGACCCCAAGTCTTTCCTTCCTTCTCTTGATCTCCATTTTTCTCTTATTGTTCTGGATTGCTTTCCACAGATTAATGTTTATGTAAAAAGTTTAATGTAAAAAAACAAAAAAACCTAATTAGTGGCTATTAATTGGTATACTGGAACCCACAAAAGGAGGCCACTCCACTGGCTCCACCCATGTCACAAATCTAAACCTAAATCTTTCTGCCTTTATGGAAAACACCTCACTATCAAGGCAACTTAACACCAGTCACAATCCTCCAACTTGGCTTTAGCTAGCTGAAGTTACCCTAGAAAACAGGGCCTTCCAGGCTTTCCACCCCCTTTCCGGCTGCCTCTTCTAACATATAAAAGCCACTCTTGAGAGAATACCTTCAAAAGTAGTGGAGAAGCATTGTACTCCCTCAATCTATGGATTATTTTCCCTTGAATAACGTACATCAAACTCATTACTTAATTGTTTCAGTTTTGCCATATGACACTAAGGATGACAGCAGTGAGAGGATGTGAAGGAGACACTGAAGATCTTACTAAAGGCCTGTAACTCCAAATAATATAGCATATTCTCACAGCATCAATTTCTTTCACCGCAAAGATATACCATGATATACCACATCGTTAACAATGAATGTGAGTTATACAATAAACTTTAAAAAAAAAAGACACTTTTTACCAAGCCTTAAAAAAAAAAAAAAAATTAAAAGAAAAAAAAAAAAAAATCAACTTTAAGATGCATCTCATTTTCCAGAGTTGTTAAAGTATGAAAAGGAAGAATGTCTCAGAATTGGTGAAATATGATATCACATTTTCTATCTTTTGGAATATATTACTATTGGATCTAGATTTAAATCAAAATGAACTATATAATCTCTATATTATCTTATTTAAGAAAATGAAACAGACCAGCTTTTAAAAAATAAAAAGCACTATCATATTTCTGCCACATGCTACTATGTAACAGATTGTCAGCACTAAATGAAAAGAACTGAAAATCATTAAGTATAAGCTCCTGAATGCACTGTTCACAGAAAAGTGTCTTAACAATACTTTTATGGTGACCTATGACCAAGTCTCAATTCTTTATTAGAATAGGTCTTTAAAAATCTTTGAGTTGGGAAAATTTTAGTATCTTGAAGGTCTTGGTTTTATCCTGTTTTTAAGTAAAACTATTTATGGTACAACAAAGACAAATATAATCTGCATATAATTAACAATAATGATATTTATTTTAAGAATATACTGCTATGCTTTGCAGGTACTAAGTTAAAAAGAATCATTTTAGTTTAATCTAAAATGCCGTATTAAAGTCAGCCATTTAATCGTAAGCTCCCTAAGCCCTAGTAATGAAAAATAATCAAAACTACATATTCTATGTTAAGAAAGGTACACCTATATACAAGAACATCCCAAGCAAATTCAATACAGAAGCCACCTATATTCCCTGTAAATAGCTTCAAGTGAAATGATCTCTGCTTAGAAAATTAAAAGGTAGCCTGAACATATTGCAGCCAGTAATCAAACTGCATTTTGATAGGCAACTCTGAGTCAAAAGACAGTTCATTCACTGCAAAACCTGGGTTGCTGTCTCAAATAGCAAATGAGTAACTTTCAGATTTAAAATTCACTATGCAACATGGTTCATTTTTGCCTACATGGGGGTTTGCTAGAATAGTCCCCTCTCCCATCCCATTATGACAGTGTCCTTCCATTCAAAGGAAAGTTTTGAGCTGGGTAATGGAAAACATTCAGAGTTAAATATGGTTGGGAAAAACTACTAAATCCAGGACACTGAAGCATCTTCAAGACAGCTGGGGGAAAAAATGTTAAACATCTTTAGCTAGTCAATGTCAATTTAAAACATTCACAAAGGTACTACTATAAGCAATATGAAGTCAACATTTCAGGACTGCAATACATCGAAGGCAGACTATTAATAGTCAAAATTGTTATTAGAGAAGTAGAGAAAGGAACACTAAGAGACTTAACTTCCATAGTTAGCTAGTCTGACTGGATTCCAGCTCTCCACAAGCATTTATAAACCAGAGGCACTAAAGATAGTTAATAGGAAACTACACTTCTACTGCTTTTTCAAATGTTGCTGTTGTCCTATCTAAACATTTGGAACACTAAAAAGTTAAATCACTGTACTGTTTACCAGTCTCTTTTTTTTGTCTTATTCATATGGTGTGGGCATTAATTTAGATATACTGATACGGAAAAAGAAGAATTAAACCAGGAAGAGAGCAATGTTTTCTAACTAGAGGTGGGCACCAGAATCACTTGGGTAGGCATTCTATCTCAATACAGAAGAAAGTAAATTACACATACATGGGCCCCATCCCTAGAGATTCTGTAATCTACACCTGTCCCAGAAACACAACTGCTATCAATTGTACAGTATGGTAAAGCAGAAAGAACATAAGATTTAAAGTTGAAAATAGGAATTTCTATCCTCCCAGTTACCTATGTAACCTCCAAAATGTTGCTCAACTTTGAGTTTTCTTTTAGTCTTCTTTAATATCGGTATAAAAAAGGTACTCAAAATATTATAGAGAGGATATTTTAAAGAATTATGTAAAAGGGGAGTCTGGGTGGCTCAGTGGGTTAAAGCCTCTGCCTTCAGCTCAGGTCATGATTCCAGGGTCCTGGGATCGAGCTTCGCATCGGGTGCTCTGTTCAGCAGGGAGCCTGCTCCCCTCCCACCCCCCACCTGCCTCTCTGCCTACTTGTGATCTCTGTCAAATAAATAAATAAAATCTTTTCAAAAAATAAAGAATGAATTATGTGAAAAACTTTATAAATTATCGAAACATTATACAAAATATTCATTGTTATTACCCTTTTTTTCAGAAAGTACTTTTCAGACTTCCCCCAAAACAAAGCTGGTCATTTTTCTATCTTTTTCTCCTCATTCTGGTATTGTAGTTGTTTGAACTTCACATGATGTCATTAATAATTCCATGGCCACCAGAAACTTCTACAGGATAATCTTGACCTAACCATTTCTAGAGACCTATTGTAGTTCCAAGGGTGGGAAAAAGTCCATGCAAAAAACACTGCCCGATTTTTCAATGTTCTGGCTTCATTCTATATTTAAAAGTACTATAAATGTCCCCTCTGTTACGTATCTTTACATATAGTTAATGTTCTCTATTTATTAATCCTATGACGTAACTAATGTTACCTCTATTTTACAGATAAGGAAACTGAGGCTCGAAGAAGTTAAGTAACTTAGCAGAAATTACTAACGTAAGTTCTGGGGTTAGGATTCAATTTTAGGCTAAGTCATTTACTACATGAATTTTGCTACAAGAAACAATTTCACTTTAAAATAGCATAAATAGTGAAGCGAATGACCTGTTTCAGGCTACCTTAAGTATGAAATACTCAAGACAGAGAAGGCTACGTATTTAGAGGAAGTATATTCACGACTGGTCATATGCTTTATCTT